ATCTCTGGTTCGTTGATAACACAAATCATCAGAGCATCATTTATTTAAATGAACGGGCTCCATGACTTTGTGTGATGAAAAAACAATTTTAATTTCTGGTTCTGGACATCTTCTGGAAATTTACTTGCCATTTTTACTTTTGTTTTGGCAGTGGTTTATTTGCCTGGAATGTAATAATTTGATGTTCTGTACATTTGCTCTTTTATCTGCTATTTTATTTGCTTGGACTGTTTTATAATGTTCTCTATATTGCATGTGTTCTATATGGATGGCTGCTTTTAATGTTGTTTTGTTTCTAACGATTTTGAAAAAAAAAATGTACATCGTACATACGTACGGTATTCCGTACATATGTATGGTGTACATTTTTTTTAAACAAGTAATATGGCACGGATTTATCCGTACCAACCTTCCGGATAGAATGTGGATATAGGATGGAGGTTTGGCTCGGCAATTATCCTAGCCAAAAAAACGGGTTTTGGTTTGGCCGACCCGACAATAGCCGTTCCAAAATCCGTGCCAATTGAAATCCGAGACAAATTATTTGGGTCTTGTAAAGAGAGGTTGTCGTGGATATTGCCGTTCCCGATTCCGAGCCAAGGTTTGGCACGGATATATGTAGTCGTGCCAATGCGTTTGGCACGAGCCAGGTGCGAGGGATCCGGTATCCGTGTCAAATCCGTGCCAACAGCGATAGTCTGGGATTTTTATGAAGTGATCCATGCCAAAATCCGACCCTATGGTGATTTTTTTTTGTAGTGACATGTGGCATGAAAGATAGCCACATAAATATTCACAAATAAATTATCTCTCCTTATTTGAATGATTGTGTATAATTTTGGTAAGTTTTTTTTCTGCAATGTCAACATCTAGACGGTCTTCTTGACATTGTGGAGAAAAACTTACCAAAATTGTTTAAAATCATTCAAATAAGGAGAAATATAATTTATTTACTAATATTTACATGACTATCTCCCATCCATACAAAAAAAGTTATCTCTCATCCACATGTGCACTGTGCACATTCTACCATTGAAGATGCTCTCATTTTCCTTCTCGGAGTTCTCATCTTGAGAAGAACATTCAGAATTTGACTTCATTACAAAAACAAAATTTTCCATTGAACCTTTTTTATTCAGTGTCGCCTTCTCTAATTTTCTTTCCTTTTTTAATCAAATCCAGATTCAATTCTTTTTATTACACCTTAAAATTAGTTACATTTATAAATTTAATTATGATTGAAATTTTTTGTCTAACAAAATCAACAAATTATAACACCAACACTCAGTAGATAACAATTAACAATTAAGAAATCAAACAATCACATATGGATGCATTATTCAATTAATAGACTAATCAAATAAACAATCAAACAATCACCTATGAATGCATGTAATTAACAATCATCAACAATTAATAAATCAAATAATCACCTATGAATGGATTTAATTAGTTTATCAATTAATAAACTAATTAAATAATCATATGGGACTAATCTGCTTCCAATTGGATTCTTTATAAAATTTATGAGTATGTGTTTAATCAAGTGTAGATTTAGTCCACAAAATTTCAACTTAAAATTCAATCAGGATTTCAGTTAATGAAATTATTAATAAACATTGCGCCAAAATATGCATAAAAACGCAATATTAATCAATAATTTATTTAATTCACTTCTAAATTTAATTGTAAACTAAATATTTTTGGACATAATATACACTTAATAGAGAACATACTCATAAGTTTTCATAAACCAAAGCCACTCGGAAGCACTGCAAAAAAATATTAGTTTAAGACCGAAAAACCAGCGTACTCACACCTATTGTAAAGAACTAGACCCAACTTTTTTCCATTTTTCTTGTGCCTAATGCCTCTGCCCCTCCTACCCCTGGGGGTGCCGTTGGTTTGCCACTTTGCCAGTCACACCACAGAAAAGAAATGAAGCAAACTTAGTTTACTGTGAATTCTGAACGTTACGAGCTCTAAAATTAGTTTGTCACTATGAATTGTACATATATATTTCAAGTTTTTTTGAAAGCTACATATTTTAAGTTAGAAATGTGAAACATTATGAATGAGATTATATGAAGTATAAAAGTATCTTTCATTTTTTATATTTATATTTTGAATTTTCCGCAAAGCATAGATTTATATCAGAAAATTTTCATTAAAAGTTACTGAAATACAATTTATGGACTAAATTATTACTAAAAGATACGCCGGGGATAACAGGCTGATGACTCCCAAGAGCTCTTATCGACGGAGTCGTTTGGCACCTCGATGTCGACTCATCACATCCTGGGGTTGAAGAAGGTCCCAAGGGTTCGGTTGTTCGCCGATTCAAGTGGTACGTGAGTTGGGTTTAGAACGTCGTGAGACAGTTCGGTTCCTATCTACCGTTGGTGTTAAAGGGAGAACTGCGAGAAGCCAACCCTAGTACGAGAGGACTGGGTTGGGCCAACCTATGGTGTACCGGTTGTTATGCCAATAGCAGCGCCGGGCAGCTAAGTTGGTATGGAAGAACTGCTGCGCTGCGGGAAATCCTTCTCTATACAAGTTCTCGGACGAGGTTTTTGAACAGAACTTCGATAGGCGAGAGGTGTAAGCACCGCGAGGTGTGAAGCGATCTCGTACTAAACGAAACTACTTTCACTTTCCATAACCAAAATGAAATAAAGTCAACCTATTCCTGCAATTGCGGTCAGTCTCGCTACCTCTTTAGTTGCCGCCCCCTACTTGCTCATTCGCAATTACTACCACAATAAAGTCGCCCCTATCTCTAAGGTGCTATGCACTCCACGACTTTATGGGTCTCGAAGACTTAATTGAGCTGCCAACCCTAGTCAGCAAGCTGAAAAAGCCCTTTCCCCGGATTTCAAAAAGTCCAAAGTCTCTATTTTTTTGTACTAATGAAAGGAGCGAAAGCCACTCGACTGATAAGGAAAGGAGGGACTTCTTCAGTTTAGAATCCAAGTTGTTGTTCTTTTCCTTCTTCCTTGCCTTTCTTTCGAACAGCCAGCGCCCAAAGGTGCTCTATTGAGCCGGTCACCGTCTGGTGTAGTAGAAGTTGGCAAGTCAGGAAGTAAAGTACGGATGGCTTGGATCCTATCACTTTCCCATGCTTGTTTGTTGGTCAACAACCAACTACCGGTAATAAAGTCCTCCTTTAGTCCAAGAGAGGATACAACTCATTTATGATTCAAGCCGAGAAGACAAGTAAAAGGAAAGAGCAAGAATATGAAAAAGTGTTTAAGGGGCCTTTGGAATACAATAAAAGACTGTACTGGCAAGTCTGAACCTGTGAACACAACTGCACATGGTGCGGGAGGAGCGCACAATTCGGTTTTTCACTTTTTTAATAATCTAACTTGAAGTTGCTGCAATACGCTTGAAACGAGGAGTGGTACCATTGTTCCAGAAAAAAGCAAAGTGAATATGTCAAAGTTATGCTTCTATCATCATATGGCCATGAGACCAAGTTCCTGGCGATTAGTGAAATGGGGTTCTCACTAAAATAAGAATCCCAAGAAATCAATCTAATTGATTGATTGATGCTTGCTCACTGCGCGGGGTCAGAAGGAAGGTAGGAGGCATCCCCGGGCCTTACCGAGGAAAGTGCTTGCTTTGTTAGATAGATGTGCGTTGCGTCTGAGGGTATTCGATATAAGAATCGTTTCATCCATGGGGAATTTAATTGATTCTCTCTAACTAGAAATATCATAATAAAATAAATAAAGTTGCGTCGAAAGATTAGCTCTTCCTTTCTTCCTCCCATCTCGTGCCCTGTAACCGAAAGTCACTCTCGCTTAACTGACTACGATATGAATTCTTTCGTCCTGACTCTATCACTTAGCCTTAGTGGGCCTAGCTGACCGGGGCAGGAGATAGAAGAATAATAGGCATAGAGCTTGAGAAGGCTGCTGGGGCGATTGATATAAGGAAATGACGTGAGTCTTATCTTCTCTCCCGGAGGTGGCGTTAGTGTTCAGTCTTTCTGAACGGACTCCTTTGGTTTGGTTGCGCCATTTAAGCCTTTCCTCCTCTATACCGTCCAATTCAACTAACATAGCTTCAGTCAAGTCGGGTGGGTTTATGTTGGAAGGCCACCCTTAGTGATGGCACAGGCACAACTCCATACAGGTTTACCTACGACCAACATCTTGAGTCCTCTAATTCTAGTAGCTAGGGACGAATACTTTTATAAGGAGAAAGATAAGCTCTAAATAGGATCAATAGCGGGCAGGGTCAATCCCTGTCTCCATTCCGTAGTACAAAGGGCTCTGTCTAGTCTCTCTCTTTTCCGGGTAGAGTACTACTTTCGAATCTATATATATGAATTGATTGGCCTTTAGGGTCCCACTCTCCATTTCATACTCTAAGGGCAGGCTTTTTTAGTATATATTGATTCCCGGAACGTAGGAAAGCACTCCTCTGAGACTGAGACTGATGAACCGAAAAAGAAGATCAATGACGCTTTGCTTTCAACCGGCCCTAGAGCTTGATCATAGAGCGAAAGGCCTAAAAATAGAATATAGAATATATAAAAAAGACAAAGAACTACCGTTCTGCTCCTGGAGTCAGAATCCTCTCTTATAAGTGAAGCCGGGTTTGTTATAAATCAGATATGATGATGGTCGGCAATCTAAAGAAAGGGAAAACATTGGAGAGTTCGTTCAAAACCAAAAAGCTACGGCTTTCGCTTTTCAATATAGAAATTCAATATATATAAGATATAAGAGTTTCGCTAACATTTTAGGCTCCCCCCATAATCATATATTCATATGTTTTAATCATATATTCATCATCATTTCATCCTATTTTATAATATCTATTTTTATTTTTATGTATATTCATAATTTCTATTCTAAAATCTATATTTATCACATATAAAGCTAAAATTCAAATTTAAGATTTTGGACCACTCTTGTTGACTTGTAAAGATTTTAAAATTGAACTCTCAATAAACTTACAAGTTAGTTTCTATTCTTTACATTTTTACAAGAGGATGAAAATTAAGCCAGATGGAGTTAGAAAGTCATGATGCACACGATTATGAAAGAGAGATTAATTTGGGATTATTCATATACATAAAATGAAGGATCATACATGCTTGTTTTTACCCCGGGGGGTTGGGAGGCCTGGGTAAACTGGGATCAATTTCACATTGAGAATTGAACCCAAGACCTCCCATTACAGAGAGTGAGTCGGCAACCAGCTGGGTTTGACCGCTTCCTCACGAAGGATCATACATGCACAACCTTGTATATACATATCGCCAATATTACACTAACGACAGCACCATAGAGAGAATTAGATAATAATGCATTTCTTTGGCAGCTGCGAGTCTTGTGCTTCAATGGTGGAGTAATAGAATAAAGATATGATGTCTTATAAAACATATCTCCAATTCTTTGGCCTGCCACTTCATTGATGGACACTATATCCGTGATCTCTTTCACTTCTTCTTTAGTGAGCTTCAACTTCACTGAACCAATGTTATCATGAAGGTTTTTTATCTTAGTTGTTCCTGCACTCAACCAAATATCGTGACATATATAGTTTTTACATTGTGCAAAGCTAATAGTTTACAACGTTTGATGCAAGTACAGAAAATTTTGAATCTAATTATCTATAACTAGACTCATTAACTGATTGGATTGAAGTCACTCAATTGAGTTATCATGAACACAAGTCAAACTACAAAAATAATAGCTCAATTGAATCAAATAGCCAACTCCACTCGACCTTGTTTATAAAGGAAAGTCGTCTTATGTAGGTGCAATATGTCATTTTTCATAAATATGTATTGCTTCTATGTTTTCCCCTTTTTCCGAGAACATGACTCCTAAAAAAGTTAATTTTTGGGGACACATGGTTTTCATAAGTTTTTTTTTTGCTTTTCAAGCCCGGCAAGTTGCCTTAACACGGAGGTCTTGGGGCGATGGTCAGGGAACACCTCACCAATTTATTGAAAAAAGATTAGTACATGGTAGGGGAACATAATGTCAAAACCTACTGGGAAACCAAATACTAGGATGAAGTGACAAGGAAAAGCTATAGCATCAAACTCAAGGATGTTAAGAAAGCGGGTGGATTTAACATCAACGACATTGCTCATTGCTTTAGCAGTGCAGTTTAGAGCATCAGGGATGTGCCTCTAACCCAACAACGACGCTAAAGTTACCATATGATTATTAATAGAATCCATACCTTGAACATATACCCAAAGTCAAGAAAGTTACAACAATTCGTTACATGAAATTATATGGTCAATTTACATATAACTAATCCTAATAAAGGTTAACTAAATGTGGTCCTATTTTTGAAATACAAGCTTGTTGTTCCTATCTACAACACTTACAATTTATAAACCCATCCTTAACTGTTTTTATAGAACATACAAGTGATACAACAAAAGTCTTGCTTTTGTTTGGTGTCAATCAACTACCGAGTCCAAACTTACAACAAAAGTCATGCTTTCTGAAATTGTTATAGAGTGAAGAGGTAGGGGAACCTACCAGGAATGGGAACAAAGTCATCACCCCTATGGAGAATCCATGCAAGAGCAAGTTGAGCAGGTGAGCATTTATGTTTCTTTGCCAATTCTTGTAGCCGAAAATATATAACTCTGTTCTTTTCTAAATTCTCTGGAGTAAACCTTGGATGTTGCTCCTGATAGATTGGGCCAAGTTTGGTTCAACATCAAACTTTACACTACTGATTAATATGAAAATATAAAAATCTGTTTCAAGCATACCAAGGTACTGTTAGCAGGCAAGCTCTCCACAACCGCCTTTCCACCAAACAGTCCATGAGCAACAGGAGCAAATGAAACAATCCCAATTCCCAGTTCCCTGTTAATTTATTTAAAGAAGCTTAGAAATTAAGAAATTACGACTCCATTAATGTTTTCATGTGTTTGCTTCGTAAGGCCATAACACAGGTATTGGAGGACCGTGACATCTCATGCAACACTAACCAACTTTTAAGCTACTCCTATCAAATTGTGTAGAATTCAAAGTTTTAATATGGTATCACAACCCATTATGTCTAACGAGTAACTCGATCTTAAAAGGCACGAAATTAAAAATGGTTACTTCAATGGGCCGCCATCTTGTGTGGACATGTAGAACCATCCAATGGGATGGAATTCATGTCTTAATAAGTCAAGCTTTTGAACACAATGTAAGTTAATACCATTGAATGAAGAGGAGTTACCTGACAAAAAAGTGTCAGAAACATTCATGCCAACCAAATAAGTTACATGGGAGTTACATATTTATTTTGCTCATAAGAAGAATAAGCCAGAACTGTCTACCAAACAAAGCCTAGAGCTCGCTTGCTCATTCAAGTACTAACCTGCAAAGAGGTACGATGTCATCCTCAATGTCACGTGTCCATAAGGAGTACTCATGCTGGAGAGCAGTGATGGGATGAATAGCGTGGGCCCTCCTTATTGTATATGGGTGAGCTTCGGACAGTCCGACATACTTTATTTTACCTTCTTCAACTAATTTCTTCAGTTCTCCCATCTGAAGTGAAACAAAAGCACATACAGCATACAATTAGGACTCAAATTATAACGTGAGAAAAATTTAAATAACACTCATAGTCTGCAATATCCCTGAGGACCAAAGGTTTCAATTCAAACTTCAAAGATCCTCCAAATCAAGCCTTCAAGTGGAGCTTATCACATTTATTGAAGCAAATGAAGGCTCAATACTATTGTAAACACTTTTATGGAAATCAATAGCTCAAGAAAATGCTACTCAGATAATGTGTTCAATTCGACAGTGGCTGCATATGTTTAATCTTGGCTGAAGTTGAATAGTGATTTCCAGGCATACAAATATCCTCTTTTCTGTGCATGTCAAGTACTTAGAAAGTATGAGATCTTAGTGAAAAATTAGCTTTGAAGGCCGCGTACCTAAGTAATTTAAATGAATGAATCCTGACCATTTATCACGGTAATATGCTCCCATTGTGAGCATATTGGCATGCTCCATATATTGGCTCCTTTCATATCTATATTATTATACCATTTCTTCCATGGAATAGCTACCAAGTACCAACACTTAATTCATATTTTATCTTAGCCTTGCTTTAATCTATAATTCCTAGATGAGACATTATAGTATCTAAATACTAAAAGCAGAAAGAAAACAATGTAATAAGACTTGCTGAGGTGTGAACTCAAGTTCCACATAAGAAAATAAGCACCACCAAGATATGAATGTTAACGTAAATTCATTAACATGAGGTGCTTGGATGATGCCTAAAACAAATTACTGCGTGTTTGGCCCGAATCAGACAATATCACACTGATGTGAACTTAAGGTGACATTTAGGGTCCTGACAACATCTTTATATGGACAAAGAATGTTCCGGTGTGATTCAAGACAAAGTTTGCAACTAAACAAGAGATGGGACTAGAAAGACGCTTACAGTTTCCTCAATAGGCACGGTAGTGTCAATACGATGTATAAAGTAGATATCGATGTAATCAACTTGAAGGCGTTTCAGGCTGGCCTCACAACAGGATCGCACATATTCAGGGGTTCCTTTCACCTCAACGTCAGTAGTAACTTTGCATATACCAAACTTTGTAGATAGTTGCACTTTTTCTCTGGGCATATGCTTCAACGCCTGCAACAACAAACTTAACTAGTTATGTGTAACTCAACCTAAATAAAACTACTGTCTCAAAGTTCCTTTTTCTCTTTCATTTTAAAAGGAAAAAATATTGTTTGCACTGTGTGTCCTAATATAAAGCATTTGTAAAATGCTTTAAACTAGTGGTGTCGGGTTTGAACTCTGGTACTAAAATTAAAACATAATATTATGCTCCTTTGTTCTTAAGTAACACCCATTAAGGTAAGACAAAATTATAATTTTCAGTTGATTATTAACTCTGGTATAAATTGAAGATCATGCCCAAAAAACAGCTTAGTCATTTTAATATGTTTTACTTTATGATTTTCTAAATGAACAATTACTTGTGAACAACATATCTTTCTTAATGGACAGTAATTTAATTTAAGACCTAGAGTATCATTGATTTAAATATAATTGAGCTGAATCATGAATTTCATTCATGTGTATTCATTTAGCTGGAATCAAAGTAACAAATCGATACTGTTGATTATGGATGTTTTCTTTTGGACTATTTTCAGTCCCAGACCAGATCTGATCATATTTCAGTAGTTATAAAATACACAAAGACCAAACGTTTACCAGATCAGACCAGACCTGTTCAAACCAGACTAGATCAGGCTAGCAAATTTCAGTCAAAAAGAAAACATCCTAACTAGTTCAACTAAAAATCTTACAAAATTAAAAAATATGCTCTCTGTCATCATATGATAGAGTTTCAAATGATTATTTTTTTTTTTTTTTTTGCATGGAGTTTCAAATGATTATATGCTTCACAAGTGATATATACTGATTAATCATCATTTTTGTTCTAAAAAAGCAATTTCACCTTCCCGACCAGGTACTCGTTAGAATGGTCTGCGCCGTAAACGTCGGCGGTGTCGAAAAAGGTAACCCCTTTATTGAAAGCTTCCCTGAGAATGGCTATCCCTTCTTCCTCTGGAACCGGATTGTTGTACATCCCAGTAAGCCCCATACAACCATACCCCAATCTGGAGACCTGCAGCAAGAAATTCATGCGTGGAATTTCTATATATAAACGCATACAATTGTGAAGAAACACAAACGAGAAGAGAAAAATAAGATGGAAACCTCAAGTCCTTGGCTCCCTAGCTTCACCCTTGGCATTTCAGCAGACGCCATTTCAGTACGAAATATTGTTTACTTAGGCTGGCTATCGGTATATCCATATTGCCTATATATAGGAAAGTTTAGAAATTTTATGGTGCATGCATGGGAAATTTTATTGGTTGTGTGTCGGAAAGGTCAAGGCCCGTTCTATATTCTTTGCTGCTTAGCAAAGAAATGCATCTACACACAGCCACGCAGGGGATGATTACGTAGGGGATGAATAATAATGCACCAAACTCATTCCTAATATATACATTCACCATATTAATTCTTTTTAAATTAAAAAATGCATCAAACCTCTTGTGTTATATGCATTAATTAATAATGTGCAAAACTTCTTCCAATAATAAATTTTATAATTTTGAAATTACTTATCTTAATAATATGGTTGAATATGCAAATAACTTTGTTGAGATTTCTAAATGACACAAAAATACTAATCATTTTTCATTTATTTGGCAATTAAAATTGTACATAGAGGGGATTTTGCGCATGAACACTATGACACATGGGGTTTGACGAATTCTTTAAATTACAAAGGGCTAATGCGCCGAATTTATGTTGCACAAGGGGGTTTGGTGCATTAAACCTCTACCTCCGTTCCACTAACGGGGGTAGAGGTCGCACAGTTATATTAGGAAAATATGGATTATGTGGTTGATATTGAAATGATGAAGTAAGAATAAGGTAAGAAAGATTAAAAAGCATACAAACTTTACCAAACTTGGTATGTGACAATCTTATTGGGACGGACTGAAAAGGAAAGATGGAACAATTGAAGCGAGACAGACGAAATATTAGTTATTTTAGATTTTAATGATTCTTCCTTTTATTTTCAATCATCTTTCCTTTTGTATTGTTTCTTTTTTAAAGGAAAAAAACTTAATTATCAGTTTTAATGGGAAGAGTATTTATTTAGAGAACTTTAGGGCAGGGGTCTTTTCACAACTTGCAAATATCTCTATATACTTCCTTCCTCCATTCTCTTTTAGTTTAAACGGTTCACTTTTTATGAACACACAAGTTTGACCATTAACATATTTCATTTCTTATTAGAAAAAAGTTAAAATTTTCATACTTTGAAAATTTAAAATGAGAGTGCGTGAATATGTTTTTCAAATAAATTATTTATAATACAATAATACATAAAATGTAGTCAAAATAGAGTATGTGAATGGTGTGAAACTCACCAATGTTGCAATTAAAAACAAACGGAGGGAGTATTATGTTTCCTATATATTATTATATTTATCAAGGAATTTATTAATCCAGAACCTAAAAGATAGATGAGTTATCTATCCAAGATCCGAAAGATGCGGTATATATATGGCCCGAATGTTTGAAAATTATCAATCTAGGACGTAAGGTGTAATGATTTTATTAACTTTTTATTTTATTAACTAAAATATTATTTAATTTTATTGAACTAATAAACTTTTATAATGAAAAATTCACCAAAAATTAGAAATGGAATTAATAAAATAATAAGTAAATCAAAATGTATCGAATTTCAGGTCTTAAATTGATAGTTTTCAATCATTCTAAAATGCACTTAACTCTTAGAAATAGTAGCACTCCCTCAAACCTGTTGACAAATTTCATCTTTGAGATCATGTATTATTGATAAATTATCTATCTTTCAGGTCCTGGATTGATAAAATTTCATTTAACAATGAGCATGTCTTTTTTTAACAAAACAATGAGCATGTTAGTCAATGTGATATGCAAATTTTAGTATGCTCACTCATAATTCATAAACATGTCAATCCATGTGGAAGCCATTCTAGATTATTTTTAGCTTTCCAATTGTTGTATAAGATGTTTAATATCTCTCGTTCTTTGACAACAAAAATCATCAGAGCATCATTTATTTAACAATTTCAAGAAACCAATCTCTTTGGAATGGAAAACTTTGGAGTTAGTTTATCTCTTAGGGTCCGTTTAATTTGGTTTTAGTAATGTGATATTATCAAGGGAATGCCAGATTCGTGGGTATGTTAAATGATGGGAATGTATGCAAATTGATCTCATTTGTGTTTAGTTAAGATTAAGGGAATGTGAAATTAATTTGTTTGGTTGAATAATATCTTGTATTGTAGACTTGATGAATTACTTCATTGCTCTTCAAATATTTCTTCTTAACACAATAAACTTATTACAACCTACAGTTGATGTAATTTAAATTAAAGAAAAAATGAAATATCTCAATAATAAAAAAATCTGAACTAATTGAATAGTTTTTAAGAAAAATATGTTTTTGGCACAAATGATAAATATTAATGAACATTAGTAAGTACTATTAACAAATGAGCATATGGGTATTTTTGGATGAAGTTTTATAATCGACCAGACATCCAAAATATCCCAAGGATCACAAGGATTACATAACGGGCCATGGAATTACATTCTTCTCTATGAGTTTGGCCTAAATTTAAAAAAAAACTAAAACTGATGATAAAATGATGGGAAAGTTCCCGAAATGGGACTAAAAAAGTTTGAAAATTCCAAAATAGGACTGTCATGTTTTTATTCCCAAAATAGGACTAATTACTGCCAAATTTGGAAAATACTGCCATGTTTGAAGTCTGGTACTGCCAAAACATGACAGTAATTAGTCCTATTTTGGGAATAAAAACATGAAAGTCCTATTTTGGAATTTCCAAACTTTTTTAGTCCCATTTTGGGTAATATCTCTAAAATGATAGATAAAAACACAAAAGTAAAACGCTAATAAAATTTAAAGTTCAATCCAAGAAAAGTATTGATCTTTTTTAGGCCAAATTACCAATTTGGTAAAAACAAAAGGGTGTTTACCATATTGGTAAAAAAATACCATTTGAGACAAATTGGTAAAAAAAATAAAAAAAACCATTGTGACAAATTGGTAATTTTTTTGTGAGTGATACACTTTTGATTCTCGATTTTCAAATTCCCGACATTTCATATTCTAAGTATTGTAAAAATGTAAAATTGTCATCAAAAGTGGAAGAGTAAAAATGTAAACGACCGTATTTGATAATAGCGTTGTCTGTTAGCTAATAACCGATTGAATTAAAATGTTAGTAACTTAACTGTTTGCGATTAAACGTATTTAAAAGTATATATATACTTATTTATTTAATAAGTCTTGGAAAAAGTAAAAAATAACTTTGTTGTAGATTTGAAAAAAGTAATAAATAGTCATGTGGAGTAGAATTTTAGAGTAGATTTTTAAAAAACTAATAAACAGTCATATTTAAAATATTAATAATAAAAATATATGAATTTATATGTATGTGCTCGTGTTAATGTACATATGTTGAAAATGATACTGTTAGTAGTTATTTATAAAATAAAAGTAAATAATTTTTTTAAAACTTTTTCCAAGACTTATTAAAAATAAAAGAAATGAAATTAAGTTAAATATAAAACTTTTAAATTCATAATTTTAATGATCATTTTACGTCTTAAAACTAATTACAAACAACTTACTTAATAGCAATGTATTTCAAACTGCTAATGAAAGCGATACTAATAGAATTCGCTAGTATCAATCTCTTGATTCAACCTACTATTAGCATCCAGACAACAACTATTATCAAACACGGCCGCTGACATTTTTAATCCTCCACTTTTGATGACAAAATCAAAGTTGAAAAACTAGAAATGTCAATTTCACATTACTTAGAATATGAAATGTTGGGAATTTTAAAACCGAATAACAAAAGTGTCACACTCACAATAAATTGACCAATTTGTCACAACCGTTACATTTTTTTACCATTTTGTCTCAAATGTTTTTTACCAATCTCGTAAACATCCCTCTTTTTTGTTTACCAAATTGGTAATTTGGCCTATGTTTTTACGATCTAAAAAGGACAGTGTAGATCTTAGTCATCTTACTTACTACCTATCAAGTATAGTGTTGGATTCGGTTCGGGCCACCCGGCCCGGCCCGCTACTGTGCGGGCCCGGGACCGGCCTGGTCTGGCGTTCCGGGTCTGGGTGGATACCCGAACCGGGGTTGTAGCGGGTGGCGGGCTCGGTTCTTACAAAAGGTGACCCGGCCCGGCCGGATCAGGCCCAAAAGAGCCGTTAGGCTAGGCTGGGACTTCCCAAACGGCTATATAGCCGTTATGAGGGTTGTAGGGGGGGTCCGGGCCAGTTGAGGGATGGGGGTAAAAAAACCTATAAATACTCCTAATATTAAACATTTTTCCACATCTTCTCCAACTCTTCCTAAATCCTCTCTACTCTCTAATCATCTATATCTTCTTCATCTTCTCATATTCTCTTATTCTCCAATATATTTGACATTTTTACTATTTAATACTTATACAAATATTATATCAACTTTATATTAATTATCTACTTATAAATACATATATTATATTAGTTATATTTCTTATCTACTTATATATTAATTATCTACTTTTAAATACATATATTATATTACTTGTATTCCTTTTCTACTTAATCTCTACTTATTATCTACTTATATTACCTATATTACAATTTATATCTACTTAATATACACTTTATATATTAAAGTATTATTAAAGTAAACTTGTTAGATTGAAGTATTATTTAAAATAGTTTTAATTACTTGCATTACTTGTGTACTCATTATTAATATATTTGTTGCAATTTAATATATGTTACATTTTTTAGATGGGACGTGGTAGATATTCGGTTGATATGGGTAACCTCGAGTGCAACCGAACGAACGAGATTGGGAGGAAGAAATCCCGCAAAGGTAAATCACATATCGGCTCTTCCTCTCAAAGCCGAGATGTTTTGATACGGGTTACCAAAGGAGGAATGGGGATGCGATGTCCGACATGCAACTACAACAAGAATTGGACTGACATAATAACCGCTTTTTCCAAGACGAACAATACCCGATGACCATTGACGAAGAAGAGCTCGAGGACGACAATGTGGAGGAGATGGCCAAAGAGGAGGGTGGTGGCAGCCACGACGCCGACGAGCCTGCCTCATCCCAAACAGGTATGAAAAAAGTAAATCCGAACTAATGCTTAATAATTTTGATAACTGGAAGGACCCGAACACCGGGAAT